CACCCCGCCCTATTCCCGCGCGGCGCACCCCACTGAGATTCCGAGATGACATTACATTACCACTATGTGTCAATGGAGCGAACGATTTGCATTTGTCAGTGTTATCTTCTCTTTGGCTGACTACCGTGGACCGCACGCAATTCGTATGCCCCACTGACAACTGCGAAGTTTGTCAAAGATCGCGTGCCGACGCGCCGCGTGCGACAGCTTCGACGTGACCTAGTTTCGACGGACGCGCGCAACGAAGCGCACCCACCTAATCTCAACCTACTGGTTGGCCAGAAGAGGACGTCATACCTTCGAAAACAATTCAAGCTTTGTTTCTTAGATTCATCAACACCTCTTTTCTGAATTATTCGTAACTAAAACAAATAAATCAAAGTGCTTACTGTCTGTATTCCAATGCTTGATCATTGAGGAACTTTCGCCTTGCGATGTAGGCGGGATCACCGTGACCCTGAATGAGAGGTTCCAAATGATTACATTGTGGTGGGTAATTTCAAAATGTATCGGTCGCGAAACAGGAAAAAATGTTTTCGACAATAAAAATCTCATGTTGGCACTTGTGGGTAATATGCTTTGGTAGGAAAGCAGAAGAGTGTGGTCATTAAACATCTTCACTAGAAGGCCAACAGGTCGCCAGTGAAGAAGAACGGAAGCACGATTCGAATGAGTTCGAAAAGGTAGCAAAATATGAATGAAAGTCAATCGGGTATTTTATTTTGTAATTTGTTGCTACGAGGAAGGAAGGTGGCGCTTGGCCAGTGAGGGCGGAGTTACCCATTGAATCAAGGTGGTGGGAGGTCGAGTAAAGTACACAGCCCATTTACTTTCCGTTCAAATTCATGAGAATTTATTTCTGCGCAGCTGACGCATAAGGTCAGCCCACGTCATCCAGGTATCTGTTGTGAGAGCTCACTTGTTCTGCTTCGCACTTCATAATTTTCTTACAATTATTATAGAACTATACCGATCAACTCGGAAATTCATGGCCTTATGAGTAATGTTCATAGAGAGGTCTAACTTACATGGGGAGTTACTACTCACAAGAGCTAGCTCACAAGAACAAGAGCACAATTCCTTCGACTTTCCAGCCCTCGAAAAAATCAATGAAAACGATCAAAACAGTTCACAGACCTCGAAAGGGAGTATATCAGCTACCGACCCTCTATGTTTTTGTGAAGACGCCAGATGATCATTGGAGTTCTCGTCGCAGTCGTCCTTCAATTATGATTTAGATGCTGTTTTTCAGATGAATTGTTTTTTGGAACCGACTCGCTTTTGCAAACTCTTTGGAGGATCGACCTCGGTTTGTGACCGTCTATTCAGAAGGGATGTACGACATCACCCGCTGCAACCTATTCGACACGAACTTTTCATTCGCTGTGCAGAACAAGCGAGGAAAAGGAGGTGGAGAATCGGATGAGTCGGAAAATGACTAAAATGAGAGAAACTACGACGAGACCGACGAAATTGACATGAAAACGTCGAAAGAAACTCAGAGGAACCTCTCTTTTCAGCTAGTTACTACAGAAATCCTACCGGATGGCGTGAGTCGGTAGTGGGGTCGTATTTTGTTATACAATGCGAGCAATTGTCCAGGTCCGCAATGTGCCGTGGAAACCATGGAACTGTAAAGGAAACTCGTCCTTCTGGACGTTACGCGAAAACAAACCATCATTTCCTACCATCTGCAACCTCATCCTTCCGATAGAGAGCGATTCCAGTGAGACTGTCGAGGTTCTGGACGAGATCTGTAGCAGCTGCGATCAGCTGCTCTTTAGTGGCATCGCAGTCAGCCAGTAAGTCCCAACCTGAACTTGTGAAATCAATCTCCAGAAATCCTTGCCTTTTTCATCTCTCAGTAATCCTACACCCTATAATCTGGACTTTTCCATTTTCTCTGAGGAATCATGTCACGTGGTGATGATTTTCCCATACCAAACTGCGCTCCAAAAACGTTTGCCTACTCCGGAATGCCCCGCCCACCAGGAAAATGGGAACTTCACTAAAATCAAATTATCTGTTTCGATTGCTTTGTACACCCTTCTAGACAATCACCAAACAGAGAGACGTCTTCTCTTTCCGCTGTATCAGAGACTTGGCTACTGTCAGGCTCAGCCTCTTTTATGGTCATTTTCGCCGCACTACGGTAGCGATAGGCACTTTTAACCGCACTGCTCTCTCTAAAAACTTACCTTGTCCTGACTTTTCCGCCCTCGTCTCCAAATGACTTATGTGAATCCCTCTTGAGCCAAAAGAATTCACTGTCGCTCCAATAAACAAGGCTAGTTCTCCTTAACAAATACTAAAAGGTTTTGCAAGCATATAGGAAGGATGTAAGGATGGATTCGAAAGATAGTACAAGGCTACTGAATCTTGATTGAATTGATACCATCCCGTAGATGCTAGTTCCGGAAAAGTGGTTCAACTGTTAAACGTTTTGTTCTACATTGATGAAAGAGTCGCTCTGGACAAGGTGTGAGTGATTGCAGTGAAGAACTATTCTACTGCTCAGAAATAAACTCATGATGAGGGTTCCCTATCTTTTAACTTTACCTGTTGTGAATTGCTCATGAGCATTTCTCATACCTGAACTACTGAGAACGGCTGTAAATGAGATTCGTCCTTTGTCAGCTGCCCAGATCAACTCGACACCTTCATCGTTGAGGCGTTGTAGAATATGAAATGAGAGTATTTCAGATTTTACAGTATTTGTGTTTCACCTAATGGTTATCGGGGGTAACCACAAAAGGCCAATATGAGACTGATATTGGAACTTATCAACATTTCACCCCTCATCAACCTGTCTAGCTTACCCACCGTCAAACTGTGTTGCGCTGTACATTCACGAAACTCAACTCGAATGTAAAAAACTAAGGTTTAGGTTCCCAAGAACCCTGTCGTTCATGAAGAATAAAAGATCTGATGTGTAACCTATAAGGGTAGCAGAAACTTGAAGTAGAGTAGATTAGTAAGATCAACTGACCAATTTCTACCTTCTACTGCCTACCAAGCTAGTCAGCATACAAGAATTTACAACTCATAAGAAATCCTCTTCGGCTGAAGTATAGACTCAGACAGAACTACAATTTTTCCATTCTATGACAATTGAAATGTAATAGTAGATATAATGATGCTGCCAAAGGCGCCACTCACCTTTTCTCCTTTGGTAGTCTTCTTCAGTTGCTCGCGATGTTTCAGAGTAGTCTGTCGCTTCACATCAGCATGCAGTAATGTTTCGCAACTGGCTTGATGGGCGAGGGAGAATCGGCGAGGGTGATTGGCCTCTCCGTCACTCTTCAACTAAACGAAGAAAATGAATTTTCTACCATACATTCACTTACATGCACTCTGAAAGTTAGTGAAGGGAATTTTCAAACTCAGGTCACCGCATATTGACGGACCTGATGAACCACTAATGAGAGGTGCGCTGGTGCTCGCCTTAAACTACCAGTCGGAAGCGTGCTCGGCTTATCCAGTGTCTGCGAGTTTCCATTCTTTGAGGTTCCAATTGACAATAGTCCAGGAAGTTCATGCTCTAGCTCGAAACTGTTGGCCAGTTCTTTTGGCCTTTTATTTTCCGTTGTCCCCTATACTAAGTGGGCATAAGAGTCTGAAACTCATATACTCACCGTTTTCGTGGCCATTTTTGCTTCTTAGTTGGAGGATTCCTCAGAAAACACTGAAAAAAAGTTTACACAAGTAGTCTCTACAGATTGCAATGGCGAATTTGGTGATAATCCAAACACAGCATCATATGACTAATCTACATATAACCCTCAAAACGTGGTAAACTCTTCAACGGAACTCAAGTCTGAACTTGACAGTCATTGAACTCATCCGGGCCTTCTAAGAATATCAGTTTATCGTAGAGGGGGAATGAAGTACAGTGACCACTGAGATGGTATGCATGAGACCGTCGAACTGTAGGACTTCTACGGTTTCACGGTTGAACGATTGAAGTTCGAAAGATCGACGGAATCGACTTTGGGAATGTCGAGGTAAGCCTTCCTCTTAAATAAGACCAACTGAATTTTGGACTCAGAATCAACGTCATCCTCATGAAAAGCTTACGACCACAACACATTGAACGAAGTTATATTGAATAGCATTATCTGGGACCCCAGTTAATTGAGAAATGGTTCGAGAACGTGGGCAATATGCTATTCACCAGTACAAATGATGTTCCCACTGTGACGAAAGACCCAAGCAAATGCAGCCAAGCAACACTATAAAGGATTTTTGAAAGTGGTATAAAGGGTGCCCCAAAACAAATTCTACAGATGATGGTGGGCTTTCTGACAGTAGCTGATTGGCTAAGGTACCATTTAATAGTGCCTTTAGTAGGGACAGGACCATAATTTTGAATAAATTTTTGAGGATGCGCCTTTCGGCCAACTTTCGCTTGAACCGGCTTCTTCGAGATGGGAGGGCAGTCCTGCTTGGAAAGACACTCTAGCGCCATTCACTCCCAGGAAGTCGATCTCAGAGAACGAAATAGAAGAGAAACCCTGTTAATGAATTGTCCCAACCAACTCCATAAGGACAGAGCAGCAGCAGCAGCAGCAGCAGAGAAATGTTCGGCAAACTTGGTCCGTGAGCTACAAGGTATGCCGTCTTTAATGACTTCCGACGGCCAGTATCATAGTCGAGATAATTGCCTCCGGTCTTTCGCAGACATACATATTGTTAGATGATGACAACATGTCGACGATCAGGTCTTCTACATTACAAAGTGCATAGACATATAAGAAATAGCTTAACGGCTATATCGGTCCATTTCTTGACAAACATTTGATGAACTATAATGGTCGAGAATGACATGATAAATAAGCCAATCAACAAGCACGAACAAATAGTTCCCAAACGTCATCGCTTCCGTTACCGTATCCCACTATTCAGTGGTAGAAGCTTTCTCAGGTCCCACCAAAAATAGCACCATAGTTACCCAATTTAGGAGTTTCTCCTGAATTCGACCCTCTATACTCATCAATTGCCTCTCAGCACCTATCTGACTTCATAAAAGGGCCAATCAAAAAGAATAGAGGGAATAGAGAGAGTGTCTGACTTCCTTGCATTCCTGGATTCATCAATGTGGCCATTTGAGTATACAGTCCCCTCGTGCTATCCTAAATCTATTAAAAAATTATTTGAAGAAATATGATTAAATGTAGTACCAGGGCTATTCGGGGCATTATCAACCCTTTTAGTAAGAGTTCCCAACCTCAACCCCGATACTCCTTACCCATGTGCCCTTTCATCCTCGTTACCATACCATGACTAGACATGGACAAAGTTCAAGTTTAACGGTACTTTAGGTAACGACTTGGTTCCTTCCAGGATCAACAGCGATTACGAAATTTCACTAAGTTTAACCTATTTCTGTTATTTCCATCTGAATGCTTGTACCTAAAAAGGTACGGAATACAATCATAATGGCGAAAGAAGGGATGAGAAATGACTGCTGGATGAAGGTACAGGTCGTCTACTGGCTCACCCTACAGTTTCCTCAAAACTTGCCACTATTCTGCAGGAAGTAGTAACAAAACAAAGGCCACCATGTTGTTATTACTCTTTGTTTTCTATCTGATAACTGTAGTGGAATATGAATACGTCCAGAGCCGAGCTACCGACGTACCTACATATGTCTCCCGATCTTTCCAGCAATAAAAAGCTGAAAGGCATACTGTGAATATTGAACCCCGTAACAACAACGACTAAATGGGGAATAGTCCCTATTTCAAGCCCTTTCGAACTCATTTTGGCTGTTAACTGGGCAATACCCTCCTCAAGCTTGATATTGATAACGAGCGATAATGTTAGCATTATAAAAGCCTCTGTTTCTAGTGTTTCTATGGCAAATTTCACTTACCGCACCCACTCACGATATCATGCAGGCTGTTCTTGAAGCAGTGGAAAAATATCGCCACGATCTGGAGGAAGCAGCCCAGGCACTTCGCCATCGTGGTCAATCACTAGCTGAGGATGCACCCAAGATGATCGAAGACACGAAAAGTCAGATTGAGCCACACACTCAGGAGCTAGTAAATACTGTGCAGGATACGGTAGGTGTTTTGAGAAATACATGAGGTATTGTTTATAGTCTATCCGCTAGATGAAGGAAATTCGTGGAATTATGAATCTGCACTATTTATCAGTAGGTCTGGACAGATTTGCCGAATGTGGTTGATCTGTGCAGCAAAATTCAAGTTCAGTCTATTCTGCTTTCGAACAGCAGTCGCCGGGCTATCGGCTAAGGTGCATTTTTTTGGAATCGCATGAAGTGCAAACCGTGCCGCGTGACTGTGCAACGCGGCCGTGATATTTTGAATGAATTGTGGTTCTGTGGTTCCTCCCTCCGCGTGTTCCTTCTTCTTTACTCTATCAACACTGATGCACCACAGATCCGAAAAATCCGCTTAGAAACACTTTTCCGAGCTTTTTATTTTCCATAATTCCACGACATTCCTGCAGACTGAACAATGCCAGCCAGAACAGGTGTACAGTGGGTGTGGGTACTTCTTCCCGATAGTCGCGTTGCGCAGTTGCGCACTGTGAACACGCACGCACGTATTTAAGTGGAAGGATAGGATAGCGGGACACGAAACCCATTCCTTGTTAATCTGGGAAGAAGTACCGTCACCCCTGTACAGTAGAAATATTCAGTTGCTGTAACCATAGAAAACTTTCAGAGTCAAGTCTCACCTGCAGAAAAACCGATAGTCAAAGTTTTTGGCTGGTCGACAGTGATGGTATTCTTTGCTAACCTGAGCATAATTCTCGGCATATACTTCGTCGGACCAGTTCTTTCTTTGATTTTTGGGAAATTTGGTGCATTCTGTCTGGCAGCCGTAGTGATACCCAGTTATGGTCATTATGCAGTAAAGGTGCGATATGTTTGTATGCTCATCACAAACGTTCTGAAAACCCCATTTGTGCTTACAATGTCCATGCGCACTAATCACAACATGATCGCTGTGCGCACAAAAATACGGATATGGTCATATGCTGTCATATGTCACTGTGCCGTATGCGTTGCTCCTGGACGATATGGTTGCGTGTGCCAATGGGTCGTTAACCGTCGTCGTGTGTCGGCGGTTCCTTCCAAGGTAGGGTTGAGCGATTTCGACAATCCTTTTTCAGCTTCGATCCGTGAGTCCGTAGCGATTCTCGTACCATAAGCTTTAACTCGCATGCAGTAATTGTAAAGAGGGTGTCGGCCTTTTCTCCCGTGGAACTATAGCGTCATGGGTGCTATGGCGTAGGCTTAGGCCAATTAACACTATAAACGCTATAAAGTTGTTGAAAGGGAGAATAGGTGTGTCCTAACCAAATAGATGTACGTCATCAGTGCAGCTGGCCAAGCCCATGATGCCAATGTGGTTTGAGCTGTAACAGTCTGGATAAACGCAGTTATGAGGCAGTGGGAGCGTCCACTTGCTAGCCTATGTTTCAAAGCGCTCAAACAGATGAGTGTTATAAAAACAAGCTGTAACCGCACTTAAATGTCGTAAAAAGTTTTTTGGCATGTTGGGATGGGACAGACGCTAGCGAAATGTAAGCAAACTGGACAGGCTCAATAGCAGTGTATAAAGGTTAGCTGTGCAGAGCTAAGTAGGTGTCGTGACGAGGTGACTTCCGTTGTTCCCATCGGTGTTCTCGCTCCTCGGCCATGCCAAGTGGGAATGTGGGTGTCCACACACCTCTAGGAGGAGGTGTCCCGCTGAGGAATGCTGGAATGAGGGATGAAAAAAAGGAAAAAAAAAGAATGCTACGCTAGAATGGTCCTGCTGCGGGCTGGAAAAAGCCTGCTCCCACGCACGCCAAACCAAACGCCCAGACTACGAAATGTACACAGGCAGGCCTGACGACTACATACGAATGGCTAACTGCAGCCGAGAATGCGATCAGAAACCAAGAAATAATGTATCATTCGAAGTGTGTGCCATTAGGTCTCAGCGCAGCGTAGTGCTTTCGCAAGCCGACCTTCCAGCAGAGTCGACTAGAGCATTTCGCTGAATTTTTGGGAGCATACCGACAGCTCTATTACTCCCTTCATGTTTTCAGCGAGCGGAATCTGGCGATGATAGTATGATCCGAATGCAGTTACTATCATATGCCATCATACAAGGAATGCTCATGGGTTATGTTATCGATAGTATTTATTTGAGTTATATACCATACGCAGTAATCACTCCAGCAATAGTTACTGTCTCATTCGCGGTAAGCTACTGGCAACGATGGTTTCTTCACATGAACACATGAATTTGTTCAATATCGTTAGGGGGACTGATATCCATCGAAACGTCACTTATCGATCCACAGGATTTTTTAACATCAAGCACTGAGCGGCTTCAGAATAAAGAGACAAGCGCCTAACGTTTGGTGTTCGCTGCTCCTGTGTCAACGGCGCTAGCTGTGAGGGATTGATTGAGTGTATAGGATTTCCCCGCCTCGTTGAAGAGCTTGGGAATTTAGGTGGACAGCGATTCAGAGGCACAGTTCACGATAATTTTGAGGTTCCCCTTGTAGGTAGAAAAGTGGAGGTGTTGATATGGAGGAGCACGTTGGTGGCGAAGAAAGCGAGAAAATCCCCCTCCTTCATATCTTTTCAAAAGTAGTAGAAATGGAGGTTGTACGAGATCACCGTGACGGTAATGGCATGTAAGAGGCGAGATAGAGAGATGACAAGTCGTTTGAACTTTCCAAATGTGAGTCTCTTGAGATAGTGCAGCCTCTACAGAGCCGTTGAAACTCGTCCATGATGGTTGTGGCATTCACACGATACAATCTCTGGCCCCTTATTGTGCCCTATCCATGCCGTTTTCGACCTTATAACGGCAGGCATAATATAAGGGGGAGCCTCGAATTCATACTACATTCGTAAACTGTGCCTCTAAGGTGTCCCCAGTTTGGACAAATGGAATGAAGCACTAATGGATGAAGGTGTCCCTGTCTCTGTCCAAGCTTAGTGATTGGAAATGCCGATTTCTGTCACCATGGCTACCTTTATAAATTACGACTAACGTCAGTTCAGTGCTATGTGCTAATAGAGGTTGGCTGAAAACTGCTGCTTCAGCCCATGGTTCTTCAAAGCAAATCGCTGATTTATGCTCACTATTACAACGAAATCATTTCTATAATATTTCGTGGGTGGCAAGGGATTTTTGCAAAACTGGAACATTACAGACAGTTGCAAAACAATCCAATGGAGAACGTAAAATGCTGCTCGGTGGTACAATTGGTACGGCGATTACAGTCAATTTCATTTTGGGAATGATAACGGGAAGCTTGTCGTTTGTCTACTTCCTGCTAACGCTCACATATGCTGGAATAGCTGCCGTCATCATGCAACTGTGTCTGAGAAATCTCAAAGGGACGGTCAGTTGAAAAATGATTTGTGTTGAATTGAGTTTCTTTAGATTTTTAAACTGAAGCAATCCGTTTTTCTGAATACTGAATAAGAAGAGAATTTCCTGGAAGCTCTTTTTTGAGCTTGGCCCGTATCAACAGCATTTCCAATGTTCGAGATGGCACTCAGTGAAACCTCGCCAAGTTTCAAGGATCCAGTATCCCCATTCAACTTGAGCTTCCATACTCTACTCGTTGCCGATTGTGTTTTCCTAGCTCCATAATCGCCTCTTTACGCGAAATCGAAGAAGGGCCCAGGGCAGGATACGGGAAGGACGGTGGTACAGGAGTAGATGCTGAACCGACGTGTTACGAAGCAGTTCCTCTTGCTCCCTGCCAAACTGCAAAGCTTTCGGATCGGATACGGTGTTCCTAGGAGGGAATACAACGAGATGAAAGACCTGTTACAGTCTNTTTTTAATACTGAATAAGAAGAGAATTTCCCGGAAGCTCTTTTTTGAGCTTGGCCCGTATCAACAACATTTCCAGTATTTGACATGGCACTCAAAGAAACTTCGCCAAGTTTCAAGGATCCAGTATCCCCATTCAACTTGAGCTTCCATACTCTACTCGTTGCCGATTGTGTTTTCCTAGCTCTATAATCGCCTCTTTACGCGAAATCGAAGAAGGGCCCAGGGCAAGATACGGGAAGGACGGTGGTACAGGAGTAGATGCTGAACCGACGTGTTACGAAGCAGTTCCTCTTGCTCCCTGCCAAACTGCAAAGCTTTCGGATACGGTGTTCCTAGGAGGGAATACAACGAGATGAAAGACCTGTTACAGTCTACATCCCTAGCAAGTTGAACTCATCAATGGGGTTCCCCCAAGTACAAGTATGAAGGACCTCAACCTTACCCCCNCCTCCCCCCCCCCCCCCCCCCCCCCCCCTCCCATTTACGATGGCTACTAGTACAGTAAAAAGTATCTGTTCACTGTTGAGGTTTTGCAGAGCATTTTGAAACCCTGAATCCTTAAGGAATTGTGTAAGTGTTGCAGACATCCCCAGAATTCTATAAAAGCTTTCTTTTAGGAGGATGACAGTGAACACTTTTATCAAAACGCCCTCAGCTGTAGCTATGTTATTGCTAAAGTGATGTTCTATCTGATGTTCGGCTCATACCACTCAGATGTACAAGCACAGAAGCAAGATTAGCAGGAACAGAGAACGATCGCAAAAACAGCTTGGTTGTAGAAGTTTAATAAAAAACTTCGAGTCAAATCTGTTGTTTCCAAGACAGGCCTAAAGCAGAAGTATGAATGAGATAGGATCAGGCTATGCGAATAAGCCGTTGGTCACCTAAGGAAGCTCTCCTAGCGACTCTCTCACTCAACCCCACAGAAAACGACTAGTTAGTGTAGGGCAGGAGATAGGATGATTGGAGGGAAAGCTCAAGCGAAAAGCTCCTTATCATTATCGTGGAGGTGCCTTGGTAGGGTCATGTTGCCTAGAGTTACCAGTGAAATCTGGTTTTCTTGCATGAATGTGCATTACTCCTACTGAGCTTGATATCTTTTATATAAAGGATAGATCTTGGGGTGCTAATCGACCCCATCTGAGGGATGCGCCCACGCATTCAATTCCCATTCAGAATCGTGGCGGCGGTACTGGATGCGTATGTGGCTTAAACAATAACTTGTGGTGGCCAGTCGATGTACAAGACACTGCCTTTACCCTCCCAGATGACTCGGGTACCAATGAACGGATACCAGTGGGATGGAAGGCTTGGTTAGCTCAGGCGGATATCGATCCGGAATTCGAACCGTGCGTGTGTGAAGTGCGTCACTTGCAACTACGCCACCTCTGCCCTTTGATATCGATAGCGAATGATAATGACACCAATATAAAAACCACCAATTCAGGGTTTCCCTATTACAAATTTCACTTACCACACTCTCAAGCTGTAATGCAGTCCGTTCTCGAAGCAGTGGAACAATATCGTCATGACTTGGAAAAAGCAGCACAAGTTCTTCGACACCGCGGTAAAGCACTCGCCGAGGATGCACCAAAGATGATCGAGGACACGAAAAGTCGAATTGAACCAAAGACTCAAGAGTTAGTAAACACTGTACAGGATACGGTAAGTGTTTTGCACGCAGTTTCGAGGCACCGACCATCTCGTCCACTGCGAAGAAGCTTCGTGGAGTCACGGAATGGACTGTGTGGTGTCAGGTAGGGAAATTCAAAGCATGTGGTTTAGTACTGCGAAAAGTAGCATGAGCCACCTATTTCTATCCTGCAAACGTACTGAGCGCCGCATTTTTGCCAGTTTGGGTTGACACCGTCTCAGCTGAGCTATGGTCTTCGATCAATCGATTTCGAGGTTTCCCTGTTAAAAATGCTTTGAATTTTTCCTGTAGGACTCACGCAGTTGGTTTCTGTGACTCATCGAAGTTACATCCTTCTAGCCACGTTTTAAGGGTCGTCTAGTGAAGTGATTGAGCATCGTGTACACATCGAAATTTTCAGAGTAATGTCTCACCTGTAGAAAAGCCGATTGTCAATGTTTTTGGTTGGTCGACAGTGTTGGTATTTTTCGCTAACCTGAGCATGCTACTCGGCATATATTTCGTTGGACCGGTTCTATCCTTAATTTTTGGAAAATTTGGTGCATTCTTGATGGGAGCCATATGGATACCTCTCGGCGCCCATTTTGATATTAAGGTGCGATATGTTTGTATGCTCATCTTGAATTGGCCAAACACCCCAATCGTGCTCACGCCTTAATGTACCATCAGCATTCAGCAAGCAATCAGTGGAGGGGGGGGGGGGGGGGGAACATTCCTTTTCTGCTGAACTCGTTGTGTCCAGGTGATACAGTGCTGTATCAACTACCAAATCATTAAAAAACTAGGGCGATCAGAAATGGGCAGACTGTGGAGGCTTGAATAAAATAGCCTGGATAAAGTAGTCAAGGGCCTAGTTGACCTCTTGTGGTCCAGAACTCTCAGGGACAATATGTGTCGGGAAATGTTTCAGAGCATCAACTGCTGATGCGTAAGCATGAGTTAGAGGAGACAGCCTGCCTGTCAAAACAGATGAGAATGCGATGGGGCTTGAGAGATGAGAATGTGATGTCAGGGTGGTAAGGGATAAAGCTCTTCTTCGGATGTGCGAAGGTAGCACTGGAGAAGGCATAGAAATGCGGTGGTAAGGTCACAAAACCTCAACAAAATCTCATTGAATTCCAAGCCCTAAAATGCGATTTCGAAGAAGAGCTGTATGGAACTGAGTTATCAGGAATCTCAGGAAAGCAAAGATGTTGAAAGAAGTGCCCAGTTCAAGGATCGAAGTTAGGGATAGAACGATTTACAAGAGGCTTTATCCATGCAGGGATAGAATATTTTCATACCGAGGAATTGCGGAAGCGGAATTGACCAGCTGGTTGAACCATTCTCGTTCCATTTCACTGGAACATTTACGCAGCATTCTATGTTTACACCAATATCGCCACTTTCAGTCTCAGACAACCGCCAGTGATCGAATTATTCGTATGAGGGTACTATCAGGTGCCCTTCTCCAAGGAATGGTTATGGGCTATGTCATCGACCGCCTTTATTTGAGTTATATACCATATGCAGTAATCACTCCAGCAGTAATTGCCATTACATTCGCGGTGAGCTTTCGAAAAATACGGGACACGATAAATCGATTGGTGCTAACAAACCCCTAAAGAGGACACAAATCCCTTATAAATTCAGCATGAAGGATAAAAGATAATGATTTTGGGGTCAATCAATCCCATCTGAAGGATGCGCCCTGCACTCGACTTCCATTCAGAAACGCAGTGGCGTAATGAGTGCGTATGTGGACTGCCAGTCGATTTGCAAGACAGTGCTTTTATCCTCCCAGACGAGTGCCGATTAACCGATCCCAAAGGGAATGGAGGCTTGGTTGGCCTAGGCGGATATCGATCTGAGATTCCAACCCCTGACCGTGCGTGTGAGAGAGTGCGTCTCTTGCCACCACACTACCTCCGTCCTATAAACTCAGCATAGCTAAAATGTGCCTAACCAGTAAGTCAAGAAAGAAGTATCAACACCACACACAGCGCATATCACTCCCATGGCCGGAGGGTGCGGGGTGGAGCGGTAGGGCTAGTTTGGCCCGTAATAACCCAAAGCAGTGGCCTTACAGGTGGTGGGAAGTGGAGGGTAGCGTCTCCAGCATGTACATGCGATGAATAGGCCATTTCCATCTTCACATCTGGCCACGGAGTTTGTCTTAAGGATATGAAAAGTGATACTGGTGATACTGGGCCATTACAGCAAGCTGCTAAATTCGCTGATGGAGACCGAAAAAAGCTGCTCGGTGGTACAATTGGAACAGCGATCACAGTCAATTTCATCTGGGGAATGATTACTGGGAGCTTGTCATTCGTTTACTTGCTGCTAATGCTCACCTATGCTGGAATTGCTGCAGTCATCATGCAGCTCTGTTTAAATAAACTCAAAGGAACAGTAAGTGAATTGGAAATCGAATTGAATTGAATTGAAATGAATTTGCTACAATCGAGACTTAGATATACATACATATTGTTTCCGGCAGGTTCCTTAAAAATCTCACTTCTAGGAGGACGAGAGGGAACACCTCTATCAAAACGCCCTCAGCTGTAGCTTCGTTATTGCAAAAGTGATGTTCTTCCTAATGTTCGGCTCATACCACTCGGATGTAGAAGCACAGAGGCATGATTAGCAGAAATTGAGAATGATCGTACAAAGAGCACAGTTGTAGAAGTTTTAATAAAAACTTCGAGTCAAATCTGTTGTTTTCTCTGATAGAGATGAAGAAGTTGTCGAAAATGGCATGGATTCTTTTCGAAGAAAGTATTCATTTTGAAACTTCGAACGAATGACTACATGCAAACGAGCTCAACAGGAGTGGTATCGGAGGAAATGAAGGTCAGTTAAAACAACTTCAGGAGGGTATCATATTTGAAAAATGTCAGCATGTGGATAGATGGCTAAGAAAGTGATCGAAAACGAATTCGTCCGGTAACAACTCAAATTTTAGTTTTCGCTTAAAAACCCAGAGGCCAGAGGGTTAGTAAAGCTCTTTAGATTTTCAAACAGCATTCGAGGACCTTAGGCTATAGTCGAGCTTTCTGAACTACGGTAGGGTTTGATAGCGCATTACACCATACCATCATACAATTGCGGTTGCTGATCGAAATACAACCCTTGAGCGATTCTCTGAAGTTCCAGAAAGTGATTCAGGAAATTTGTCACGGCCTTCTTCTCTTCCATTCGTCCTTTTCACTCAATATCGTGTCTTTTTCACTTCCTTCTTTACAAACATCCAGCCAGACGAGCCTCATTTCGGCAAAATCCCCATGCAGAACCTTGAAGAGGCGTGGCCCTAGTTAAAGTCGAACTCGGCTCTGGAAGGCCTTCGACAGTATGCATAAGGATGCCAAAAAGAGAGTCCTGAATTCCGAATGTCGCATCTAATGCTCATAGCGCGGACGGAGGACCAGCTCCTTGAGCGATAGACGGAAAACCGCTAGTTGGTTCCGATGATGCTGATGCCGATATTACTAGGTTGCGCAAAAACTGTTTGCAGATAACTTCGCAATAGTCCAGATTTCTTCCGGGTTTTTTGGAAGTTTCCCCAGTGTTTTTTTGTAAGGACACTACACACGGGCGTACAAATAACAGATTTGGTTGCCCTTTCCTTGCTTGTTTACTGACATCATGACCAAATTGTCCACCCATCTTCTGCACGTTCTTTGCGATTTCTCCATCGACGAAAATAACTGAAATGCGTGCCAAGCTTTGACCTGAAGCCCCTTTCCGGGCGCTCTGGGCGCACTTCGTTCCAACTCCTCATAGTCTGAAACAATAAGTTCAAGAAGAATCTCAAGCGGATCATTCTATTACGGTATCGTGCAATCACTTGATATATGTTACGCGCATATAGGTTAGTTAGGTTCTCGTAGTATTTCTATGTACGCTCACAACGAATCCCTGGAGAAGCCTAATCTACTGTGAAATTTTTGACCGGTACTTCGTGCTTCGTACTTATTCTTCGCAAGCTTCAGCTTCAGACTGTATTGGCATGACCGCCTTCAATGCTAGCTGGAAATCGCGACATTTATACTAGGCATTTTTCTCGGAAAGCATCTCTTCCTGCTTAGTGTCTGGATCTGGTGCTTCTTCTGGTTATCCGTTTCTTCCAGTTGAGTTCGATTAGCAAAAACAACACTGTGCCAAGGGAAGAAAAGAGAAAGGGTTCGAAGGCTCAGTCGACAATGTAACTGGGGATGAAAATGTAGCCTGAAGAAAAGAGGGGGGGGGGGGGGGGGGAAAGCACGCATAAAGGGTTGGTATAACAAGAAATTAACGCGGTTCTACGTGGTAGTCCGTGCTATATTAGAACTGTATAACTGTATCAGAGAGGGAGTGGGGGATGAGCACTAGCCTACTGTGCGTTCTCATGCGGTTTTCATCCAGGAAGGTGTAGCTCTTGAACTAACAAGAAGTCGTAGGAACATAGGAGCCCCGGAGCGTGTGGGAAGAATACCCCGTGCGAAAAGCTGGAAGTTCGCCCAACCTGAAGCTCCTTCCCACTCGAGGCTCAGTTACAAAATTGCATGTCCCATCCCTATTGTACACGAAGTAACACGTAACAGCGGGTCAGTTCTTATTATACCAACACATTGTGATAGCTGCACACCCCCCTCCCCCCTCCCCTCAGTCGCTGAAAAAATGAAAAAAACATGAGTTTGATTGATTCTATTTATGATTTCCACTTCGTGTGACGGGTCGTGGGAAAGACGAGTGGTTATTGAAGCAAGGGAGTAGGTTGGTATTTGGTCTTGAGCCACTGGTATGATTTCTCAGGAGGGTTGTATGAACAGGAGCAAATCCCACATGCTTGGATGAAAGTCGATGGGCAAGATTCTACTGGACTCCTGCCACCCCCAGTGGATTGTAATCTGGTTGTACTAGAATCTGCTCGTGCTTCACCAATGCCTCCATTGTGGCGCGACTCTGGAGTTCCCCCTGTAGGGACAACTTAGGCCCGTAAAACACACCCATTCCGGTCACTGTCAGGACATTGCAAGGGCCTGCCCACATGCCCCTTCTCTTGCGTACTCCGAATCATTCTGGTACAAGAGTTCAGGCCTAGTGGCCCTCTCGCCATACCACCCTATACCAGTTGGACTAGACACTGCTTGATATTTATCAGCTACTATCTTTATATCAGTGTCAATCACAACATCGATCAATAAAGTCTAATGAGAAACTTTGGAAGGGGTTTTCCGAGTGCTCTTGACACTTTTCTTCGAGTTTGTCTGTTTGGCAGCTCCCTCCTTCTCAGTAGCTTTACTGGTAGCTGCCTTTGCCTTTGGGAGCGTTCCCTTTCTTGGCTTTTTCTCTTTGGGTGCCACGGCTCCCTCCTTTTTCTCTTTGGGCGCAGCAGGCGTCTTCTTGAATGTGACACGTTTCTCCTTCTTCTCTTGGGGTGCAGCTTTCTCCTTTTTGGCTGGTGCAGGAGTCGGATCTCTTTTGAAAGCTTTTTTGGCCACAGGCTGAAAGCGAAGTAACTTTCTTCACATATGGACTAAGTAGGGTATGACCAACCTTCCTCACTCTCGGTGCAGCAGCTTTCTTCTCACCGAGTGCGAAGCTTCCAACGGCTCCAGTGCCGGTGACCTGTTTGAGTTCTCCCTTTTCGACACCTTTTTTGAGTGCTCTACGAATATTGGTGTTAATCTGAAACCAATCAATGAGAGGGAATCTGTACTGATTCAGAACAGTTCTACCCCTCGTACGGACCGCTCTCCCTGCATTTAAAAAATGGGTATCGATCGTTCCATTCCCATGGTAAGAAGACTACGAAGCGGTGGATCTATCACGTATCTGTTGCCTAGGGACTCCCGGATGAGCATACACCCACACTGTTGCAATGTACCGTCTACTGCAACACTCATCCCATCCTTGCTGAATGGCAGAAGAAACACGTTGGCAGCGAACCACGTGTATACTTCTCGATTGGACAAAACTTCCTTCATTTGAACCCGGAACATTTGGACCCGCGCTTCAGTAAACCCCCTGCTTCTCTCCGCTAATTGTCAACTGTAACACTACTAACTGCCCCACCATCTCCAATCAGGGAAGACAGAACGAACCTTGCTAACGTTGTCTCCGAGTTGGTAGTTTTGAACGAGATATCGTACGATGGCGCTTTTGGACGATCCGGACTTCTCATTCAATTCGGCGATTGCCTTCTGCACCATCTTCGTATAGGGCGGGTGCGCCCGAGGCTGTCGTCGTGAAAGCTTTGGACGAGTTGCAGTGTCAGTGGGAGTGTCAGTAGGCATGACAGCGAGGTCGGTAGACATGTCGGTGGCAGAGTAGAACTGAGTCGTACCTCTTTACATCTTGTCTTTTATAACATGCAAAGTCCTCACGCTGCGACCCCATGATAGAGGAAATCAGTCCTTGAGATATTCGATATATCACTATCGAAAGCGTTAGTCGTATACAAGTAGGATGAACAAGCAGTTCGGGCTGTTTCCGGTAGTCCGGAACTTCAACCTCTGGATTTTCCCTTCCCCCGCCGCGTTGGATGGCAATGNTTACATAAAGGTGACGGAATGTATGCTCGAGTCTGTACATTTCTATGAGACAAGACAAGGCAGGAAGGGCAGGAGAACCTGTCGGCTGGACACCACGATCTCTATATTTTCTTCATTACTTCGGTGATGTTCCGAAATGTTGCCTCTGTCGCTTCCTTCTGTGCAGCTATGGAGTTATGAATCAATCATGCTGACTTCTCGACAAAGGTACACCTAGCTAGAGCATTAAGAAATGTTTGTGCGTTGCTCGGAGCTCTTCCATTGCAGAAGGGAATTCTGACCTGCGAACTCCAATGGGGAAAGAAGATCAGGGAGTTGACTTACATGGCAAGGAATCTAGGATGGGCCAAGTAGACAATGAGCATTTGGTGGTGACCAGTACCAGCGCGGTTTCCAACTGATCCCTCGATACGTCGAATAGACCCTGGATCAGGCGCTAGATGATGGCCAGACTTCTTCATGTAGGCCCCAAAGAGAGAGAAAGGTTTGATTCGTACTGCCGGTGAGGATCCAAGGACGACAAAAGCTCGTGAAGGGCGCAAATGAAGTCTTACTGAAGTCGCACCCATCAAAAGTGCGGTCAACGGCACCTGGTAGTGGAAGGATCCTTTCTTTCGACAACAGTCGAACCAGCAAAAGGCACTGAGATATAAGAGACCTCCAGAGCTTTGAAACGGGTGCTCTTCTACCCATCGCACTGAAACATTCTATTTTTAGAGATAGTTTCATTTTCATCCAGGTTTAGGAAGTTCAGTTTGCTTTCGGTTCCTCGACCAGTAACAGTACCGGCCAGCTCCAGATGGCTTGGAACCACTGAGTGGTAATGGGTGGATCATGATAAAGACGGTATCATTGGTGGTATAAACAATCCAGAACTCATCTGAGGTGAGTTTCATTCACCTTGCAACAATGCCCTCGATAGCCATCGATGAGGACCCGTCTGAGAAGCACGTTGGGTTTGTCTACAAACGCCGTCTCCCCCCCCCCCCCCCCCCCCCCTAAATTCGAATCATCAGGTGATTTCAGAATTACGTCGAGCAAAGAGGAACCGAAAGGAGTCATCGAGCAGTTTGAAGAATGTCCAAAACGGGCGGAAGTGACAATGGCTGTTGCGATAATGAAAAATTTCTCATCTCCATGGCCATAGCCCTGCTCGTGATTGCTGTTTTGTCTCTCATCGACTACTACCATATGGCTCTTGTTCCACTTATTTTCACCGTAGCCGTGGCTGTCCTTCTGATCGTCGGAGTCTGCACAAAAAGCTCAATATGCATGCTTATCTCTATGATTCTTCTGATCATTTTAGCTATTTTTCGTATTCTAAACTTAATCTTTGTAGTGATACATTTCACAAAAGGCGAAAAGCAGTTAGATGCACCCGCGATCATTAGCTTTATTCTAAATGTTCTAGTGTGCATATGCACCATTTTTGCCATAATCTCAGCTTGCAAGCTTCGCAGCGAATATTAGTCCCATACATACTAAATCTTGTATTAATAATTCAGTATTTGTCGACAATTACAAAGCCAATAAATAAACATTGTCGAACTCCTTCAATTGGTAACACTTCGTAACAACATTGCGGTTCACCTTGGGAAAATGCTCGACGTTATTATCAACCGTAGAACACGCTGCGCCCTTTGACGTCCCTCTCTCCTAGGTTCAGCTACCTCTCCTACTCTGCGCTAAATATTGGAGAAGAACGGTGTAATCCACCCCCCGCCCCCCGTACTCACCCACATTTTTCTCTTTCATCCAATGTGTATGCAGCTCAAACTACGACTTGCTTGGGGACAGCCATAAAAGACTCATAGGTTTCAACCTTCCAGAACAGTATAATACCATGATGATCTTCATGATCTCGAAGAATTGACTTAGTTGCCCTAGGCGAGTACCAGATTTGCTTCTAACAGATCGCCTCTTGGTGTTTCGTATGTTCTACTTTGAAAAACGCTCCGACTTGTTGAAATGTTAAAGCTCCGACCTGCTCACTTCAAAAACTGTGATGTCCAACAAATTCAGGAAAACTGCGTGAAGGGAATATCTCGCAACCTACAAGGATAAACCATCCCTCCACAAGCCTTATACTTAAGTAAACGCTCTCATTCCCATGGTTAACGGTGGAGGCTTCCCTACTAGACAATAGTGCAGGTATGTGTTTCAAAAATGGAACTGTAGGAGCTGAATGATAAAAGTAAAAAAAACAGAAAGAGTCCCCGAGAACAGAATAGAGGCACCACTGGAAAGCTTTGTCTCCTCCTGCCATTAGCACATGGATCGATCCCATATAATTTTTATTGAGAACGGAATTGAAAGGAAATTGAAATTCTTTTTCAACTAAAGCCGTCGGACACACAGTGCTGTAGTCGCATTGCAAAACGTTCCAAAAGGGCAAGTTGAACACACAGCGGCCACATTGTAGATGTAGTCGCCAACGACATTCCCTCTGAAAGCAGTATTTAACCGGAAGGTTCAGAGAACGGCGAGGTCAGGGTCTCTACTCACCCAGGCCCATATTGACAAACTGCGAAGTAGAAGGATTTGCAACGTTGAATGGCACAGCCCAAACGTACGTTGTCGTGCCAGGCCATCTTCAAAATAGAAAAACTCCACGTCATACTGTATCTTATAATCACCTCTGTTCCGCAACTTCCATGTGGAATAGATAAAGAATTTTGCAAAGATTAACTATAGAGTATACTCATTCTGAAAAAAATTCATTGACCCTTTAGAGAGAGATTGACGTTCCTAGTAGGTAACTGAATTTCTAGCGAAAAGCAAAACAAAATTTATTCCCTTTGGTTCACAACCACCACGCATCAAACACAATGAGGAATGGCGTTTCTTCTCTATCCCAACCTTGACTAATGCCTTTCCCCTTAATATAGGGAGGACCTCGAATCTCGGATCGATGCCCGCCTAGGCCAACCAAGCCTTCCATCCCTCCGGGGTCGGTCAATTGGTACCAGACTCGTCTGGGAGGATAAAAGCACTGATTTGTACATCGGCTGGCCACCGCAAGTCATTGTATAGGCCACATACGCACTCATTACGCCACTACGATTCTGAATGGAAGTCGAGTGCGGGGGCGCATCCCTCAGATGGAATTGATTAACGCCAAAAACTTTATCCTTTTTATCCTTTATAGAGAGGACCTCGGGAAACTATTACCCTCCCCACCCCCACCCCCTCCCCTCCCACCACGAGTTTGTGATTGAAACCTTATCGTTTCATCTGAAAAAGGAATAGCACTTCAGCCAAACATTCCTGCTTCGTCACAGGAAGGAAGGGAGCCTGAAGGGAGCAGTGCGTTCAGGCCAGTGTCTGTTTTGGCGGATTTTATTGCAGCCCTTCAGTTATTTTGATACACACCTCCTTCAAAACTTGATAAGTTTCGTAAAGATTTTTGCTAATGACGGGAACAAAGGCATTTCCACTATACCTTAGACCAATGAGTCACAATATTGGTCGTTCGGTGACGTGTCGGATAATCGAACAGCATATCCGATCGGATTCCTGATCGTGCTAATTCGGACCACCAGATCGTCATTGCCTAAACTTCTAAGGTTTGTTTTTATTCTTAATTTTCAAAAGTTACACTCAACTGGTGTTTGAAGTTGGCCTTTTATCAAAAATTCGTACGAACTAAGAGTCGTACTTGCCAAGAAATGACCAGAGACTAGCCGTTTGTTTTTAGCGATGTGTTTTCCTTTTTTGCACGTTACTGGTGAGGTATCGTTGATTTACATATCTTTCAAAAGTTAGGCCCCACTGCTCACCTGTTCTGCTGCAGCGCTATAGTCTAGACTCAAGTCGTTGATCTTCTGAATGTTTTCTTTGAGACCTGGACGAGAACCTTCTGAAGAAAGCTCGCCGTCGCAAGTTTGAGCATGCCGAATCGCCGACGCTTCAACGGCGCAATCATATACCTAAAAAGCGAGCTCTTCGGAAGCTCTCTACGGAACCGACCCGAGTTACCATTTCTTCCATATTACTGGCTGGCGGCGCCGGTCCAATGGGTCCATTTCGTTGTGCTCCCGTTCCTCTAGCAATGCTTGATCTGAAACCGGTGTTTTCGTCCTGGGCTACATCTGCCTTTGAACTATTTATTGCAAATGCTCAACCTTAGTTCATTATGTTTGCTTAAGTAGGCGTTCCTCAGCGTGTCGGTCATGCCAGTGTTTCCCGGGCAGAGACCTGAAAAGCTGGCGTGAACATTGCTCTTTATACAATCACTCGAGTGGTTTACTGGAAGTTCTACTTCATACTCTGAAGTGAACTGCCGCCCATAATGGTCGTCGAACTTGTTCCCGTGTTGATAGCACTTGAAGATACACAAAGTCCACTTGTACGATCGCAGACACTCCCAGTTGGACATTTTGAGCATGTTGATCCCACATCGTATATGTTTTCATTGATGATGTTCCCCCTAGAAAGAAATTATTGCTAACACTTATGGCCCGAAATACAAAGTCTTCACCTCGGACCATATTGACACACGACGAAATAGAAGGTAGGACATCGCTGAATTGCGCAACCGAGTCTAACGGTATTGTGCCAAGCCATCTGCAAATGACGGTTTGAAGGGTTTCTGTGAAAGCATTCAAGGCCAATCTACTTATTTTTTTTTTGTTAAGTAAACAACTACAAACAACAATCGAATGGATTTTTAAAGCTCTTGCGCTCAATGGTTGGCAGGATCAGAAAAGTTTTTTCATAAAAAGGGCCTGTGTAAAAAGGATCTGAAACGAGTGACGCACCCTTTCTGAACTTTGGGCTTCCGGACGAGTGACGAGGGAAAAGCCTGCAGCTCCTTTGTTCAAAGAAAAAGTACCATAGCGGCCTAGTCGCTTGTCGGTGACGAAAGATAATACGAGGTGGGTTGACGGGTAAACCCAATTATTTTAATTTCGAGGTTATTGATCCTAAGTCGTCACTGTGCAGTGATATGACGCGTGCGGTCGCGATGCAGCAAAAGCGCTGCGCATTTGGGACCTTCATACCTTTGAAAAATCGATAATGCTGTTTAGGCGGTAACGAAGCCGTGGTGTAAGTTTCATATTCGGCTCGTCCACACCGTTTCTGGCCAACTGACCCCACCAATTAGTCATCGCCTGTAAATTACAATCTCAATTTCCTACATAATCGCCTATTCTGGACCCACTTCCCTTTATTGTGAAAGTTTCTAACCGTTTCGGCAACATTATCCAAATCGAGGCTCAAATCCATGACTTTGAACGTGTTTTCCTCCAAGTCTGGACGCGAGCTCTCCAGGGAAGCTCCACCACTGCACTTCTCGGCACTTCTTATGGCCGAGGTCTCAACTTCGCATGAGTATTCCTGAATTCCTAAACCTTCTAGCAGCATGGGTTCAAGACGTTCTGTTATGCGGCCCGAGGTATATATAAGTTGAATAAACGAACCATCCTTTCCATATTAGTGGCAGGCGGTGCAAGCCCCAGGTTATCGTTTTGCTGTAGTCCTTGAGCTAGGCTTGACCTGTAACAGATGGAATTCACTCTAGTTTTCTATCGGCTAGTTTGCTTATATCATGTCGGATGGATAGCTCTAAATTGTCAGTGGAAAATAAAGCTGGGAAGTGTTTTAAAGACAAAGACATGAGTATTTTTTCTAATTTTCGAGATTTGGAAGGGCAAAAAAAAATGACTGGACGTCGAAGAGTTCCGTTTCGAAAACCGGCTAATAGTACTGACTAGACTCTCACGCCCTGATTTGAAGGTGCTCAAGTAAAGCAAATTCCTCTCGCTGCTAGACCGAGCACAGCTCTATGGCATTCAGAGCTCAATGGCTGCTTTCATAGTCCGCGAGCGAGCGTTCGAGCCTGCCGGTGGACTACTCGTCCGGCGGTATCGACCAAGATTGTTGTAAACAGATGGCAAGCGCCGCCCTTGTCGCTCGCTCCCTCGCTCGCGGGCTGGACGTCGGACTATGAAAGAAAACAGCCAATGACGGTGTTTTAGAAAAAACTGAGACGTCCAGATCGCCTTGACTAACGGATAACTGCAAATTCATTATCGACTGTATAGATTCGTGTGTTTGTGAGAATTGCTGTAAAAGAAGGAGAAAGGGTAACTCGTGATAGAAGATTAGTTTTGTCCCCACTCCTCCCAAAGCAGAGTGATGCCCTAAATTTCCAATTGCGTTTAGGACTTTGAATGGAGTGAAAATAGTGACTGTTCGATTAATGTCACGTGCAAGGTCCACTATTACCCACATTCATAAGTTCAATTTTCTCACCTCAAAGTATTGTGTCGGTTGAGAAACGAGTTCCTTAAATCCACTGTCATTTCGCTATTTTCAGGACATTGTTGTGAAGAAACTGAGAAGTTGCAGATTGTACCTTACCAGAAGACAAAGATTCTTTTAGATGTCATTANCTATTTTCAGCGCATTGTTGTGAAGAAACTGAGAAGTTGCAGATTGTACCTTATCAGAAGACAAAGATTCTTTTAGATGTCATTACTAAAGATAACAATACTCAAAGTTATCAGAACAAAAGTCTGGTAATCAAAACCTAGAAGCTAAATGCAATAATAATAATTCAAGCGATTCAGGCAGTCTTTCGAGCACGAAGGGTACTGTTTATACAAGCGCGCGCGGTCACGAAGCGGCTCAGCATCTCAATCGATACTTTTGCACGCTACTTCTAACTTCGTCAACATATTATAGTGGATCTACATCAATGTCTCAGAAAGACTGCTGTACTAATCAGATCTACATTGAAGCAACTCACCATCTTCTAAAATGCACAGCATGATCATAATCTGAAAGGAGCAAATTTTATGTTATTGTAAGCAAGTTTGGAAAATCTTCTTTTCGATTCGTTTTTTTTTCTTGAATTGTTAGAGGCTCCATTACATTGAGGGGAACATTATGTAACATTTCAGCATCTTAGAAATTGCATTACTGGCACCAATTAAAGACGGGGGACGGAACTTACGTGCGTTCGAGGATGCGCGCGGCACATTGCGCGGCGACGTGCGTGGGATTTCAACGACCTTAACGCCTATCATTGGGGCCCAAACTTGAAGTAAAATAGATCAGTAGGATCG